AATCTATTCTATGATTCTATGATTCTATCCCCTTGGGAACAGCTAAGTTTGAGTCTCATTTGAGGCAATAAGTGTACAATGCACCTCTAAAGTTTTTAGTCTGCTTCAATACCTCTGCAAGTAACAGTGCTCAACTGTTTGCAGCTGCTTGATAAATGTCTTCTCCCACTCTCTGCCCAGGCTGGGCAGCTAGCAAGCCATGAATCACTTTCGTTAATAGTTCACCAGAGCTTTGTGTAGCATTAATTTCTCTTCATATGTATCTATCTATAACACAAACAAAACTAAATGCCATGTATTAAACATTAAATAAGGCAAAATATATTAATTACAAATTTTCTCTAGTTTAAAAACCTCATAGTCCTGCTAAAGCTGTAGTAAAGCACTTTTATAGATGTGTTGTCCTTTATGAAGCCAATTAAATTACCAGTGCTTCTCTGCATGATCTCTGATATTTCACTGGAGAAAACTTTACTGCCTTTGTATTGTTCATTCAAATACCCTGCTTATTACTTAACCATTAAGACAATATATTATCTTCCCTCAGGCTTTACAAAAGTCCAGTCACATACAGTTCATGTAATTAGTAACTCACAAAGTCACTTCTGTTAGATAATGTTAGGGAAAATAAGATGCCTCCCAGTGATATGGAATTTAGAAAAAAATTCTCTGTTGTAACAAAGATAAAAACAAACTTTAGAGTTTTTGACATAACCATTATTATAAGCTTTTTCAGATGGTAGCTTTTCATAGTTTACATTTTAGTTTACACTAACATATGCACAAATAATTTGTGAAAATGATAGATGCAGTAACTATTAGCTGAGTGAAGAAAATGTTATGAGAAACACTGATTTATCAACACATACAAAATGAAACTTTCTGCATACATAAACATCTGGAGCAAACTTTTAACTTACTTGTAATATATTTACATAGGGTATGATTTTGCTTGGGAAAGATGGCTTTTTTCCTTCTCCAAATACAAAACCAAAACTCATTTATAATTAAAAGTTTCTGATTTGCCCATCAGGCAGTTTGCACGTTAAGTAATTTTGTATGGCTGAAATTGCTACAGGAGAATAAATAATAGAAATAATAGGAAGCTAGGCAAAATCTGAGGAACTTGGTTAACACTAACATGTAAGTAAACCTGATTAATCCCTTTATAGAGTGGTATCCTAATCCTTATTTTAGATACCATGTGACTGTAGGACTCTAAATTTGCATGCAACATCTAGTGCTTGTGTATAGTTTGATATCACAACCTGCAGTCACACACAGTGATTTACATGCAGTTATGCAATCTCATTGCACAACATTTACAGACACCATTTTTACAAAATGTTATGCATAAATCAGAAATTACAATGGAATGTGTATGCTATTGACTCCTTTGTGCAATTTTCCTGTGAATTTTAATTGGAATTGCTGTGAGCTACAGTTGGCTTACAGTGGTATAATACAGCATTAAGCTCCACAAAGACATCTAAGGCTGAAGGAATAAAGGGATTATTTTTCTTTTATTTTTGTTTTCTTCAGAGGGAGACATATCTCTGAAATCATACCAGTGAAGGCATTTCCTAAATGAGTTTTTAAAAACCTGGTTAGTAACTCTAGTGCTTGCAAATTTTCTGTGGAAAATGGTAAATTTAGCAATTGTTTTTGTTACTTGTGCCACTGAAACACAATAATTGTTATCAGAGTTTAAGTTTATATATGTACAGCAGCTGAAGTGCTGTATTTCAGACTCATGCTGCGTGTTCGTTGATTTTGATAGAGTAACAGTTTATTTTCTTTCACCTTGAATGTTGGCAATCAGCACTGAGTTATTGACAGAGGTGGGTTATCCCAGGCTCGTGATTTTTGGGGGGTTTTCAGCTTGTGTTATTTTATCTCATTTATGAAAGGCTGGGTTTTATGTGAAAGTATCCAGTAATCATGGTTGCGTGATTCTACACTTGAACAAGTAGTGGGTTATCAATAGCTTTGTAAACTTACCCATAGAAAAGCTTCCCTAATATCTTTCTCTGCTTCAGAATTTCTGGTTCGTACCTGGCTTAATGGATAAATGTATTTGGGTTGGCTTCAAAAGAAGTAAAATTATCCCCTTATTCATCCATACTTTTTTTCCCCCTCATCTTTTCCATGAGTACATACATGCTTTCTTTTAAGAGACATGCCACATCAAAACCATAATTGCTTTAAAGACATTACAGAATGCTATTGCAGAATAAAACATTTACTTTTTTAAATTGGAAATGAATCTTCTTGAGTTTTATTTTGCAATAGTGAAGTGCTTGAAGTTTAAACAAAATATTTCTCTTGAAAGGGAATGCTATGTTTCTTTTGATCCAAAGTGGTTTCTCATTCAGGTGAGAGAAGGAATGATTTCAGAACTGACAGACATGAATTTCAGAAGTAAAAAGGATTTTAAAGAGCACTTGTTTTGCTTTGAAACTGTAACCTGGAATTGCCAAGTCTTTAGTCACAAACTTATTTGTATCCCACCACGTGTATGAAAGGTGGCTATTAAAAGCAATAACTTAATATTCATCCTTAAATAGGCCAAGGCAGGATTTGAGCATGAAAAAAAAAAGGAAAGGAGAAAGCAAGCATAACACCCTTCCTCAATTTTGCCTTACCTCAACTCTTCCTTCCTTCCAGCAAAGCTAAGAGGAGTCAGTGTGCATGGCCTACATCTACAGTGCTGCCTTCTTCCACGCACCAGACCTGCTGTCTGTCCAACCAGTAGAAAATTACCACTCACTGCAATCACAGTTTTATCAGACCAGTAGCCTTCTTTCAAAGAGGGCTTCTTTTTTTTTGGTCAGTGACAACAGGGCAGGATTCTTCCCTAATGTCTATTTATCAAAGTCAGAAGAACACACTGAGAGGAGAACTGCTGAAATTGTTGGGTCAAAATTAAACTCTTAAAATGACATTTGAAAAATTGGCTTTTGGATTCTGACAGGCAATCAACTGTTACCTTTTTCAATCCCATCTTCTCATTCCTTTTCCCTTACCTACTAATGAAACTACTTTTGTATCAAGCAAATCCTTTGGAATCGGAAGTAAAATTGATCTGTGTATATTTTATCTGTGAGTTCATACTTTTTAATAACTCACTCAATGTGAACTGACAGTGAATTCATAAAATGCATACTTTGGGGTACTTTTTAAAGAACACTTCATTTTAATATTCTTATTTTGTCTTATCACAAGAGAAGGAAGTGCTGCCTAGTTTCTCTAGCATCGTGAAGAAAGAAGTCTTGAATATATCAAAATGAGAAAAAACCACATGGATCTTTGAAATTGTATTTGTAGCAATGGTTTCCATCGTACTGCTGAAGGAGTCTGAAGGAACATGAGTCTGTACAGTCTGTACAAGTTTGAGTTGCTCTTTCATTTGTTTCAGTTCTGGTTTTGGATTGGGAAGCCAGAAGACGGTAACTGCAATACATGCTGGCGTGTATAGATGTGGTAGCTGGCAGGAGAAAGAAAGAAAGAAATCTCTGTTTAAATATGTGTGGTGAAGTCTGAGGATGATTTTAAAATAATATTTCAGAATGCAAACGTGGTAGATGATTTATTTTAACAAATTGTTTCTGGTTTAAAGGCCAGCAAAAAGGGACATAAGGTTGTGTTGTGGTTAAGAATGGCAGGGACTCCTGCTCCAACTAGCTGGGGGCATGGTGAGCTTTGACCATCACAACATACCCCATCCCCAGGGCAGCTGCTCTCCAGGTTGTTTTCTGACACAACTGTGGCCTCAGGCTTGCAGTAGTTTGTGCTAGAGGGTATCAGCAGCTCCTTCCTACAGCTCCAAAGGTGGTTAGAGCAGAACCTCTCAGCCTCTCATGCCCACGGGGTGCAGAGGACCCAGCTGATGTGGTCCTTCTGTCAGAGGCTTCTCAGGGGGCGTTGTGAGGGTGAACATATTAAGCATTGCAGGTCTCCATTACTTAAATAAGGAAGCCATATAAATAGCTTTGGCACATAAGAAGTTATCTCACTCCTTCATATTAACAGATGGAACCTCCATAAAACATAGGTAATGTGCTTTTGTTTAGTGATATCAGTGAAGTCGTCTAGGTAACAATTTCAAGCAGCAGTGAGGACTGTAAATTTGGAAGCTGTTTCTTTTAATGATTTCCCATTATATACCAAGAACAGATTTTTTTTATTATTATTTTTAAGTCCATATACCAAAATAAAAACTGTGAATTCTATGATCAAAATAGCATATATATTTAGGTTGGAAAAGAAAGAAGGTTCATTAGAACTGCTTGGAACAGATTTTACTTATAACCGAAACTTGCTTCTCTTAATGAAACTTATTTTCTTGTTTTGCAGCTTGCAGGCCTGGATTCTATAAAGCATTTGCTGGAAATGTAAAGTGTTCCAAGTGCCCTCCACACAGTTTGACTTACTCAGAAGCAACTTCTGTCTGTCAGTGTGAGAAAGGTTACTTCAGAGCTGAGAAGGACCCACCAACTATGGCATGTACCCGTAAGTCTGACCAGTACCAATGTCTGCAATTCTCTTCTCCTGTGCCTCTTCTTCTCTTCTCTTCTCTTCTCTTCTCTTCTCTTCTCTTCTCTTCTCTTCTCTTCTCTTCTCTTCTCTTCTCTAGTTATGTGAGTTTGTACATTTTGTGAAGAATTCCATTCAAGGTAACCAAAAGAGATTTTTAAAATCAAAATTCAAACAGCGTATTTCTATTTAGACTAGAATAAATAAACTACTGACATGTTTCTTAGTTTGGTGATTTTTTTTAACTTGTAGGTCTGAGAGATAATACAAGGTATGTAATCATTGTCATATAGATAATAATGTTGAGTTTTAATTACCAGTGTGTAGTTTAAATACATTAAAATATGCTTGTATAAAAACATTCGAAAAACTGAAGAGTCATATAAGGAAAAAAACTGATATGATATGCTCTGCTATCTCCCTAGATTTAAATGAAGATTATAAGATATATATCATCCAAACACAATTGAATAAAAAATAAACTCTTTTTAAAAGACAAGAAAATCATAAAAGGAGAGCAAAAAAGTTGTATGCAATCAGAACAATACATAATTAAACCCTCTTGCATATCATCTTCTTTCAACAGAGAGTTATTCCCTCTTATACAACTGTGGTAATGGAAATTCTTTAGATTTTTAAATAATTTTAAAAATACAACATTTTGTTATTTTTTACTAACTAAATTTGTCATTAAGACAAAACTGATGCCCAGCAATCAAGGGACAGCACTTCTAACTGAGAAGAGATTTTTATTGCTTTAATCAATGTGTTCATGTCCAGAAACATAAAGCATAAATTTGCTTTTCACTCATCAAAATATTTCTCGTAGATTTTCATATGTGGTTCATTACTCACTGGGATTCATTTATTGATCATAAAGCAGCTTTATCTATTTAATCTCAAAACTGGGAACAAACAGCAGCATTTAAAATCTGTATATGAAATACTATATTTACATAATATCCTTTTATTTAATAAAGATGATTAAAATTTGTTTAAAATTTTCCAAGATACCTAGTTTTTGGTGTAGCATTTTGTTAGTTCTTCTGGTGGAGGATTAGATTCAAGTAGATTTTGTGCCACAGTCTTCTTGTTAAGAGAATTCTAAACAAATTAACATGTTAAATGCATGAAGTATTTTAACACAGTAAGTATACAAAAAGCTTAAGAGATAAAACTATAAAAACAAAGTACTGCTGCAATAACAGTCAGTGTATAGTCATAATTTTGGTATGTTTACACTGCATAAGACCACACCATGTGCAGATAACTGAGCTGACACTAGGAGAACTGAACTACATCCTGTGCTCACACTAGTCTCTCCAAATAGCACTGTACTGGGCAAACTGGGAATATACCAGGTAATTTGGAGCTGAGTTACAAAGTCATAGACAGTCTGTCATCCTGAGGTCATTACGTTGATCAAGACATTGTCCATCCACCACATGGGAGTGATGGTCATCAGAAATGGTGTTCCTCAGATCTAAGGCACTTAGCTGTCTCATCTAACCATAGGGTTTTCAGAGAGGAAGGGTAAGTCCCAGCTACTGAAGTGACATAGGGTTCAGAGAGGCACCCCAGTCTAACACACACAATCTGCCATCAGCTTGCTCTGCAGCAAGGCATGGAGTCCTGTCTGTTCACACAAAATATGTGAGGGAATAAATGATGTTGTCCTAGACTTCCTGCAGGAAAATGGTGATTGCAAATAATTCCACTGAAGTGAGTGCCCCAAGCACAGGCCGTTGAAACTTACCCACAGAACTGCACATGTCCCAGGTGCTCTTGGCAATTTCATGCTTAGAAAGATAGTTTCACTCATGCATCATGCAGATGTGGTTCTGTATTATTAAGACATTGATTTTTCATCTCCAAAAGACAGTTCTTCTCTGAAAAAATTACTCATATGTGGCATTATGTTTCCATAATTATCTTTTAGGGCACAATTTTAAGCCCTGGTACCCATTAGTATTGATAAAGTAGGGAGGAGCATGAGAGCCTTGTGGCACTGGGAGCAGGTTACTACAACACCCTGGTGCTTTCCCAAGAAAAGCAGGGTGGTGAGAGCTGCTTTGGCCAAAAGCTGTCAGGAAAGATGTGCTGCCAGACTTCTCTGTTC